ATATTATAAAAGATTGGACTTTCCCGATGACGGATCTTCTAGACAGTTTTCTTGAGGGAAGTAAGTCTAAAGAAAATACCAAAAAGATTTTTTGTTTTGTTTTAGGTAATTAAACAAACACAACTAAAGTAGCATGAAAAGTCACTCAGAAAATCTCCTCACCCCACACTTAAAATTGTGCATTGTCCCCAATGCACACCATATTAATAAGAGGGTAAAAGAAACTCCCTGGTAGGCCAAAGGCCGAAGCACTAGCAGCTCATGGGGTACTCAGACTTCTCCCAAGCTTGGTCCTTCGTGCGGGTACCTCACACTTAGTTCCAACCAATTTATTTGCTGTTGCATCCTTCCAATACCTTTGCTTTCCATGCTCCTAGAAAATAAAAAATTTACACTATAAAAATAATACAATAAAAAAAATTAAAATAAATAAATAAAAGAAAGTAAGAAAGCTGGGTTGCCTCCCAACAAGCGCTTGATTTAACGTCGCGGCACGACGTGAATCACTTTTTGCCTCCACCTCGAACTTATGAATTGAACCCCGAGTTTTGATTCAAGCTTATGATTATGGTCATGGGGCGGTGGAACGAATCTAATTGGCCCAAGCAACCATCGTATTATTTTACACTTCTTGGCTTTTAGCTGAGGTATGTAGTCCTGTTTTTCTGGCAAGAAGAATTCCAGAATATATGCACCTTGTTCCTCATTCCTTGACTCTTCAATTGGTTCTGATGACTCTATTTCTATATTATCATCCAAACATAATGTGGAAAAATGCTTGGCGTGTGGACCAATGCGCTCAAATACATGAACTTCAGGACTTTCAACATCCTCAACATCAATGATACTAGAGTCAACAAAATTTATATCCTCAACGCCCTTAGCTGACTCTAGGCTCATTTCTTCAACATCGACATCCTCAAAATCTAGTTCAATTGATTGTTGGTGTTCTACTCTGACCTCCTCCTCTAGCTCATCCTCATATTTTTTTAAATCCTCCATTAACTGCAGCCAATTCATTTTCTTCTTGGCTATTATCCACAATGTAAGCTTGTTGCACTTTACAAGGTTCAATGTGAGTAGTTGTCTCTTGCCTTTCTATCTGCAACTGTATTTTATCATATTGTTCCATAAGGCACTTTAGCGTATCCTCGATCTCTTTCAGGTCCTCATACCTGAGTTCTTCATTCCTATTAACTTCACAATAAAAAGAAGAACCATCAAAGTAAGGGGTTGGGGGGAGATAAGAAATATAAGCACAACCCTGAATGTGACCATCTTGACCACCACACATATCACACACATTCCATACATAAGATTGAGTTGGTGCACATAACTCGCTCTCGGGAATATTTTGATAATTTTGTCCTGGGTGGTTTCCTCCACAGTATGCATAACGAGGATCAAAAGTAGAATTACTAACATCCAAATTCTCATAATTCCATGATGCCATTTTTTTCAAATTAACAAATAAAATTAAAATAAAGAAAATAAATTTTTTTGTACCAAGTCATATAAAAGAAATTCAATATATGAGTGAAATCAAAGAAAATTGACTACACTTAAGAATTTTGTATTTTCCTCCAACTACAATTGATAATACCGTTAATTTCCCGGCAACGGTGCCAAAATTTGATCACGCTCAACTGTGTCTATTAAAAGACTACGCGGGCGTTGCAAATATAATCCGGGGTATTATGCCCCGAGTCGAATCCCACAGGGAATTAACGTATCAAGAGAAGTCTTTGAAGTACTAAATTCTTATTAGTCAACCTTCTCAAACTTTGTGAATAACAAGTGGTGTTATAATTACTATTACAACTAATAGAATCAATAAAACGAAGGTTAATTAATACGCAAGTGTAGACAATTGGAATAATGGCCTAAGGTAATGGCTTCCCCCGTTGTTGATTTCCTCAGTTGTATATTTCTTATAGCTTTGACTTAGTTGCCTCTATCAATCATGAACTCTCCAGCTATCATAACTCTCTCTCAAGTAATTATGATAATTTACTAGACGCACTCTCTCAAGCTACGCTAGCTAGATTCGCATTACAATTCACTTAGATCGCACCCGAGGTGTCGTTATCTCTACTCCAACCTCTAAACCCTCGGTTATGACTCTCGCCTATACTTCGGGAATGATGTTTTTCAAATAATTACCTAAATATGCACTCTCTCTCAAGCAGATACATAAAAAATAGGAACGGCTAATTAAGGATCCTTTCAATTAACCACAATCAAAATGTAGTTGAACAAATAGAGATTAACAACCAACTCAAAACTCTATTAATATAACAACAAGTTCATCCCCAACGGGTTCACCCAAAATCTTAGATTAAAAGAGTTAGCTACTCATAACAATGATAAAAACTAAAAAAGAATTCATGAACAATGGTAAAAATCACCATAGAAGGAGATATGGATTGATGCCCAATTGCTTCCTCTCCTTGTGCTCCTCTCCAGCTCTCCAAAGTTGCACACACTTGTTGTGGGCAAGCTAGACTCTTTTTAGGTTGAGGGGATTGGTCTTGAACTTTCAAAAGTATCCTTCAGATCTGTTTTTCCGTCTGGACTAGCGCGGTCGCGCTACTGGACGCGCTAGTGACCACGCTAGTGCCCTAACATTCTGCCTGACGAGCGCGGCCTGAGCGCGACCGTGCTATTAACGCGCACTTTCCACCCTGTTCCGTTTGGAATTTGGAAAAATATAAGACATGAAAGTTGTAGTCCTTTGAGTTATATTTCCAACCATATATTCTGGAGCCCAAATGGTGTTCTGAGCAAAACGTTATGTCTAGTTTACTAGACAGTGCACAATATACCTCCTCGAGTCTTCGTTCGTTCTTAATTATCAAATTTGACCCCCGAACCCGATCCCGACTTAATTTCTTGAGCTTTTACTCAGACTTCAAAGCTCCAAATCACTTAATTTCATTCTATAACATCCATATAGCTCGGAATCGCTCCTACAAGACATAAAACACACAATTAGTGCAAAACACTAGTGATTAAAGCTCAAACTCAATTAAAGTGCAGTAAACTCGAGTGTAATAAGCGACTAAAATACGTAATTATAGCCTATCATCAGGCACCATCACTCTGCATTTCCCTTTCTCAACAAATAGGATCGCACAAATTGTTCCAAGACATAGAATGCTAAAAGTAAGGTTCAATTGCTGATGTTAATGGATGTAGATGATAGAAATGAGCGAGAAATAATGGCTAAAGGTTGGGTGAGTCGATATCGGTCGAAATTCCAGTTGCATCATTATGGGTAGGCCTAAGGCCTAAGTTGATATTCGGTCGAAATTCTAATAGTCGTCGAATTGAATGTGATATAGTTAGGCTATCTATGGTCATTCGAGAAAATGGAAAATTCCTAAACAACTGTAATCCTGAGTCCGTCGGACGAGTAAGACTCATTGTCGTGCTCTTCAAGTTAGTAACCACTTCTAAAAAAAGCATCAGATCATATCATAATATACTAATCATCATATCATACTATACTAAAAATGGGAACACCCCCAAGTCAAAAGTTAATTTATAAATTTACCCATAAAAAATTAAGCGACCACTTTGCCCTTCAATTTGACATTACTTTAAAAGTATTTTTGAACAAAAATCTAAATATACATTCTAATTAAAATAATTAAAAAAATTAATAGGAATAAATGTCTTAATTATTACTACTCTACTCCATAAAAACGTCTCAAGATTTAATACTCCAGTCTTTCATATTGCATTTCTCTTTTATATCCGTTTTTTTGGTCATTTTCCCTTAATTTTCTTTCCCTGCGTGTGATTTTTTTTTCTGTAATTAAAAGCTTTTATTTACCAAGTAATATTTACACAACATTTCTTTCTTTAGCCTGATCTGGACATCAGTCCCAGATTCAGCTTGGCTTCTCACTCTTGTTCCTTCTAACTACTATACTAGTTTTACACATCCATATGAACAATAGGGTAGTAGTTTAACTCTAATAATCTCTCCTTCAGTCTATGTTTCGTGCCCCCTCGATAGTGGACTTCTTGAACTAGTTGTCTAGTAATTGCTTCAGCACTCCTCTGTCTTGCTTGAAATACTCGTGCAGTCCTCTCTTGCCATATGTAGTATATGCTACCAGCTAGAACCATTATGTATACTTCTGCTGTACGACTCTTCAATTTGTATTGTCTTTCAGCCCATTCTAGTTCTTGTCCCCAAGCCATCACCCGCCTCTTTATTCCCTGCCATTCTAGCATTGCTGCCCATACTTGTGTTGAAAATGAACATTTAAAGAATAAATGGTCAATAATTTCTTCTTCACTGTTACATAGTGCACAAGATGTATCCTCCAGGAAGCCCCATCTCCCTAATCTTTCTCTTGTTAATAATCTTCTGTGAGCAGCCAGGTATAGTGTGGATGTCCATTTAGGTAGCCCAGCATTATTACATGTCATCCTCCTCCATGATACCTTTGTAAATTCTCCTCTAAGCTTCGAGTACATAGCCTTGATTGAGAATTTGTCCATTTGCAGCACCTTTTCTTCTGAGTACCCTGCTTTTTCAAAGTGTTTCTTTGCTTTTATTATTTTTTTGACCACCCATGATGCTTGCTTTGGTCGATCACCCCAAGTAATGTATCTCTTATAGTATAGGTGGACCCATTGTATCCACATTTTATCTTTCTTCTTACTTAGACTCCACAACAGCTTGCAAATGGCTGCTTTATTCCATATGCCTATGTCCAGTATGTTCAATCCCCCTGCTGCTTTTGGACAACATAGTCTATCCCAAGCTAATAATGCTTTTTTGTGACCTCTGTCCCTCCAGTCCATATAAACCTTCTACATATACATTCTATCAATTGGATCAATTTCTTAGGCAGCATAAATACTTGTGACCAGAATACCTATATGGAGAAAAGCACACTCTTAATCAGTTGAATTCTTCCTGCATATGACAGGTATCTGGCAGTCCATGATTGTATCCTCCCTAGCATCTTCTTAATCAGTGGTTAGCATTGTACTAATGATAGCCTTTTGGTACCTAGAGGCACCCCCAGATACCTCACTGGTAATGACCCTTTAGAGAAGCCTAATTCTTGCAGTATCTCCTGTTGTATATCATCTCTTACTCCCCCAAAGAAGATAGAACTCTTATCAGCATTTGCAACTAAACCAGAAGCTTGGGAAAAAACTTGAAGCATTGATAGAGTAGTTGCACAGACATAGTATCACCTCTACAGAAAAGCAGGAGGTCATCAGCAAAGCTAAGTTGTACTATGCTCATTTTAGCACACTTAGGGTGGTAGTTGAAGTTTGGATTCCTCTTTAGGGTCTTCAATAATCTGGTCAAGTATTCCATGGCCAATACAAATAAGTAGGGAGATAGAGGACCACCCTGTCTCAATCCCTTTTTTGCTTGAAATGGAGTTGTATGTTGCCCATTGATAATGATGGAATAAGACATACTTCTCACACATTTCATAATCCATTGGACAATTCTTCCAGGCATTTGCAGACTCATTAGAACTTGCTCCATATAGTCCCATTCAATAGAATTATAGGCTTCCTTCATATCAACTTTCAGCATGCACCTTGGAGATATACCTTTCCTGCCATAACCTTTGACTAGTTCATGGCTCAATATGATGTTATCATTTATCAGTCTTCCCGGCACAAAAGCAGACTGGTTCCTGTCAACTATGTCATTCATTATCCCCTGCAATCTGTTTGTTATCACCTTAGATATAATTTTATATAGGATAGTACAACATGATATTGGCCTATATTCAGTGATTCTGGCTGGATTTTTAACCTTTGGTACAAGAGTCACTGTTGTGCAATTGATAGGTTGATAGAGCTTATCATTTGTAAAGAACTCCAGCACTGCCTCTGTAACCTTGTCTCCAATCACAGACCATGCCTTCTTGAAGAATATATAAAGCATTGAAACCATCACAGCCAGGTGCTTTGTTGTCATTAATGCCTAGCAGTGCCTGAAATACTTCCTCTTTAGATACATCTTTCACTAAATGAAGTTGTTGTTGTCTATTCACCAAATCTCCATCCCTCATCACCATTGGATTAATACCTGGCAAGTTCCCAGCTGAAGATCCCAGTAACTGCTTGTAGAAGCCAAGCACTTCCTCTTCAATCTCTTGTTTAGTTTGCACCATCTCCCCATTAGCCCTTATTAAACTCTTAACTTTGTTCTGAGAGTATCTTCTCTTCATGATTGCAAAAAAATAAGCCCTGTTAGCATCTCCTAATTTCAGCCAGTGTACTCTAGATTTTTGTTTCATGATACTTTCTTCCACCTCAAGCCATTTCTCTAGTTGAGCCTTTGTGTTCTTTTCTGCTATAATCACATCTTCAGGTTGCCCAGGGTCTCTCATTTGTTCCTGTAGTTCGCTAAGTTGTTGTCTGCACTACTGAATCTTGTCCCTTACTGCATTATACTCTGTTCTATTCAGGTCTTTCATAGCTTGCTTCACTTGTTTGAGTCTGCACCATACATCATTCATGATATTCATCCCATTTCTCCTTTGCCATGCTTATTTAACTTTTACCAGGAACTCTTTATGCTTGTCACATCTCCTTTTTCCTACACCCCCGGGAGGGTATAAGGGAGTTTTTCCAATTAAAGGACAATCGAAACAGGATTATTTGTTTATTAAAAATTTAGAGTCGCCACTTGGGATAATTATGGTGTCCTAAGTCACCAGTTCAAATCCCGAATAGAGGAAAGATTGACTCTGTTTTACAGCTCGCGAGCCAGAATCCGGGTAAGGAATTTTGTTAACCTGGGAGAAGGTGTTAGGCATTCCCGAGTTCCGTGGTTCTAGCACGGTCGCTCAACTGTTAAAATTGGCCTGATTATCTGATTTTACAACACTTTTGAACCTATGTGCATTTTAACTTTATAACCGCTTTTATTCATTTTAAAGAAGATTTTAACGTCGTCTAAAACATGTCTTTGGACCGCGCCACATGAAATGCACCCACAATTCGAAACACATTTTACTCAACGCTATTAAGATTTAGATTTGGGTCACATGAAATGCACACCCGAGTTTAGGAAGGTAAATTATTAAAATTACGCGCCTGAAGCAATTATGCATTTTTAACTTTGCGAGGGCCATGGAAAATTCGCTAAATGGCAAGTCTCGAATTCTAAGGATTAAAAAGATTAATTAAATGAGGGCCACGCATCTTGAGATTTTATTTGGCATGGCGCACCTCAACTCCAATTTTAAAAGGAAATTCAAACTAAATTTCGGAGGGCCATAAACTATTTGTATTACCTAATATGACACACCTCCGATCTACTTTTAAGAGAGCCCAATTAATTAACTAAGGGAAATTTGTGGAACTTCTACTTGTTTAAGCTAAGGGTTCTACACTACAAGCTTACTAAAATGCACTGTCTTGGTGAATTAAAGGTTCAAAGGGAAACTATTTCAAACATCACTAAACAGACCTCTTTTTCGATCCTTCGAGCTTTGGGCTCAAGACGAGCCCAAATTCATGATAAGTAAAAACGCACAGGTGGGTTGAGTTCGACTACCTTTCAAATGGGCCTTCGTAGGCCCAATTTTATGCTCCAGATTGCTGTGCCAGTCAAAGAGCGTCAATCACTGACGTTAACTTGGAACGCAGACTCGAGTTGCCCAACTCAAACTTTGGTTTTTTTTTAAAAAGGGCACAAATTAAACATCAAAGTTTTCTACAGTTTTTGTCATGCAACTTGGATCCAATCTGCTTTTATAATGATCCAGCAATCAACTAGTGAACTACTGGGCTCCAAGGACAAGCCCAAATAGTAAAAACAAACAACTCTCCTTTGTAGATGACTTCAAGCCCCAAAGCTAGTGAGCCCAAGCCCTGTATGAACAAGGTTGAGGATCCAGACTCGACATCGAGTCTCTACCCAAGCAACGACCTTTACGAATAAGCAACCCCTTTTTGACACTAGTATTAACCAATTCAAAAATAACTTTCAAATTCATGCATCAACCCACAGTGACTGGAGCATACAGAGATTTCATATTCATGCTAAACTCTATTTATACTGATTTTTGCAATTAACAAGATATTCATATAATCTGAGCTTACAAACATATCATGGATCTTAAAATCGATCGATACTTCTGACAATAACAAAACCTATGGAATTAACAAATGAAAATCAATAAATGCTAAATAACAGTCTCCAGACAGTGTCTATATAGTACTCAAGGTCCACAACACAATCTCACTTTAAACATGCTAAGATAAAGAAAATTGAAACCACGCTGAGAAAGAAAAATAAAGAAAAGGAACATTTGATATCAGAACATTTCATCTTTCTTCGAAACAACTCATGAATCATTCTTTACATGCTCAAGATCAGGGGTATGTACCTGGAAATTTGAAAGGAAAAGAAGTGAGGAAACAGCAAAGATCAGCTGCAGGGAGTTCAAACAGGAAGAAGTAACAATAGAATCAGCTAAGCTCAGATTCAACCAGTCAAAATAGTGAAACCAACTCAAGGAATTCAATAGAACAGTAAACCAACAACAAGGCTTGAACCTGAACTTTTCAAAACCCAACTCTAATCCATTTCCACCCTAGGATGAGAAATTATTGTTTTCAAAAGTTTTGTTCACCAGATGAAGTCAGAAAACTTAAAAGTCAGCAGAGTTTGAACAATTTTTCTCAACAAATCATGCAAGGAATTCAGAATTTTCAAGAAACCCCAGCCGTTTTTAGTTTTTTGGATATTATTTCTTCAAAGTCTGCCTTGAAATGCAAGGAAGTGTGCCTTTATAGGCAAGGAAGTAGGGCAACTCACAGACCTCAGTCTTTGCATTTTGCCCCTTTTCCAATTTTTGTTTTAGCTCCCATACCCCTAGTTAATTATCAGAATTTCAAAACAAGTCCCCAACCCAGCTTCTTAGGAAGCTTCCTATTCTGTTACAACAATATTCCCTACCATAGAATCCCTAAATTACCCCCTAGACCCTCTGTTATTACTGTAGGACAAAGTCCAAATTCTAAGATTGGGCCTGTCAATACCGGATTAATTCCCCTCCTGAACTTTGATTTTTACAGCCCAATTCACAATCACGAAACCTAAAACTAATGAGTCCAACAAGATTTCCAAGGGAAACTCAGAACCTTCTTTTTTTAATTGAAAACCCGAAATAAAAATGAAATAACGACAGAGAGACCACAAAATCAGAACAAACATGCATTGTTAACTTTAATTGAAAATATGCAAGCATAAGTGATTATAAGAATGAAAAACAAATAATACAGAAGAGATGAAATGAGAGGATGAAGACTGGAAACCTAGATGAAACAAAAGATAAAAAGAAAAATGACTGAAAGAGAAAGATAGATATGCATACTTAAGAAATAGTCTGAACACATCTTGAAAGTAACCGTCGAGCCTTTGATTTTGACTAAAAGGGGCTTTAATCGTGTGTTCTCAAATGAAAACACGCGAATAAAGCCCGTTTCAACCTCAAACCTTCAAAACTCGACGATTCGATTTTTGGGATTTTAGGGTTTGTCCCTTCAAATCAAGATTCGATGGGATCTAGGGTGATTCGAAGGAAACCAAGCGAGGATTCGGAATGGGGAGACGAAGGGGGATCTGTGGTGCTGAGCTGGGGTCGATTGGAGGTGGCGCCTCCGGCAACCAATGGTGGAGAACTAAGGCGGCGTCTCTTTGGGTTTGGTTTGGAGACGAAGGGGCTGATGGGGTTCTGAGAGGGGGTGTCCAGATTCAGACAGTCTTATAGTTGGAAAGGATCAGTTCTGGACCGTTTGATCATCTGAGATCAATGGTCCAGATTAAACTGCAAGGAACATAGTCATTTTGGTTGAGTGGGGGGGCTGGACTAGGTGGAAATGGGTTTGGGCCGGTTCTGGCCGGGATTTATTTGGGTTTTAAGGGGAAATTGAATTGGGCTTAAGAATTGAAATAAAAAATCATCCCAAATCTGATTCACATCTTTTGTTTTCCTTTCTTTTCATTTTTTTTAGTTTCTTTTTAAAATAAAAATAACACCTAAATTAATTCCTAATCAAATTATTTATCAAATTACATTAACCAACTCTAAATAACAATTATCACAAATAATAATAAAAACCAAATCAAAGGAAAAACTACCAAAGTTCAAAAATTAAAATTAAAAGTGCAAAAATAACTATTTTTGTGATTTTTCCAATTCTTATAAAATAACTAATTTACTACTTAATTCAAAACGTAAAGCTAAATCCTAAATGCAAACGCAACATCTTTTTGTATTCTTCATTAATTAAATAAAATAAACATGCACAGACAAATGCAAACAATTGACAGAAAATGCCACAAAAATCCACAAAATTGCAAACAAATGAAAAAAAAATTATTTTGAATTTGTGGGAGTAATTCATATAGGGCAAAAATCACGTGCTCACAGCTGCCCCTCTTTGCTCGGAAACACGAAGAGTTTTCGTGCAAAGACAAAGTGAGCGTATACGAGTGATTTTTGCCCGTTTGAATAATCCGTGGGAAGCATTTTTGAAAGATTTGACCGCACCCTGCTTCCGAGGTTGCCTACATATCCTTGGCTATAAAGGAATTAGGTCAGTGTAGTTCGGGAAGTTTCGGTAGCTGAGACTACCATGAAGCTGTGATTTCGCTGTTGCTGCTGCTGCTACTGCTTACTGAACCCCTTATTACACCATGACAAAATAAAAGAAGCTAGACTAAACTATGATGTATGTATTAAAAAAATCCTATCTATATCTTCAAACTTGATCTTGTGATTCTTGTTGCCTTGTGACTTGTATTCCTCGGGTGAATTTTCCTTGTTGCCGACTTGAATTGTAATCTGAGATGCTTTCCTTTTCTCCAGGTGGACGCCTGATTATCGACACTTAAACTGTTTCCTTTTCTCCCGTGCTCTCCGGGTGGGTGCCTGATTGCTGAACTTGAACTGTATTCACGTGCTTTCCAGGTGGGCGCCTGATTGCTGAACTTGAACTGTATTCCTATTTTTCTAGGTGGGCGCCTGATTGCTGAACTTGAACTGTATTCCCGTGCTTTCCAGGTGGGCGCCTGATTGCAGAACTTGGACTGTATTCCCGTGCTTTCCAGGTGGGCGCCTGATTGCTGAACTTGAACTGTATTCCCGTGTTCTCCAGGTGGGCGCCTGATTGCCAAAACTTGAATTGTAATCCCGTGATCTCCAGGTGGGTGCCTGATTGCTGAACTTGAACTGTATTCCCGTTCTCTCCATGTGGGCGCCTGATTGCTGAACTTGAACTGTATTCCCGTGCTCTCCAGGTGGGCGCCTGATTTCTGAACTTGAACTGTATTCCCGTGCTCTCCAGGTGGGCGCCTGATTGCTGAACCTGAATT